AGTATCAATAGTGTGGGTTGGGTTGGTTTGGTTTGGTTTGCTAAAATCCCCTGTTGTGTTCATGGCTGTAGAGTATTCTAAGCTAAGTAGAACCTGAATTTCTAAAGTTTATAAAACAAAGTTTTTTCAGGCCTCTTTTTAATATTTTGAAAGAGTAAATAAAAAAGGGGCACAAGCCCAATTAAAACAAAAGAAAACCTTACAACTCACTTGTAAAGTAAAAGATAGTCTGGAACATCCCAAATACCCGAGCAAGCCAATTTTTAAGTTCTAATAACCATGACAGTATCCCTTCTACTTCTACTGTTTAAACCTATGGATTGTGAGAGTTTGAAATTGGGAGATAAGTAATCTGGATCTTTGTTTTGATGCTTTTAAAACTCTGAATAAAAGGAAAATTTAATTTAAATTTAAATTTTCTAGATACTTAGTCTTTCGCTTTGAACAGGACTACATCCTTATCAGATTTTGATTTCATAGCAATGCGCAGGCAAGTACTTTCAATGCAGGTCAGCTTATTTTTTTTAAAAAAAGGGAGGGAGCAGGTAAGCATAAAAATCACAGCAGAATGCAGTTAACCTGGAGACACCATCTTGCCGGGGATGGAAGTGTACTGAGATACCTGGCCAGAGTCAGGCTGAATGAAGAACACTCTGGTGCTGCTAGTTCAGAATTGTCTTTTTTTAATTATTATTTTAATTTTAAGGTTCCGCCTCAGCAAAGCAAGCTTGTTTTTATTAGCCACTAGGGGGCTTTGTGGTTGTTCCATGTTTGTGGATGTCCATGAGCACTTCTGCACTCTTTGCAGATGGAAAATGACCTGTTCTAGTTGGCTGTGTCTTCCTGCCTTTTGACATTATTGAGGAAAGGCAGAATTGTCATTTTCAAGTTTCCCACTTAAAATCCCACAAACACTTCTTTCCATTTTTTTTAAATTGCTGGTCCGTCCCCTCCCCCCCCCCGGCGTAATGACTTTATCACCGTTTTGAATGTGGGCTCAAACAGAAACATGTGAACCCTCTTCTATTGCCTTTCGTTCCATTGCAGCAGCTCTGGATTCCCAGATATTAACTCATTCCCCTGCATGGCAATCTTCCAGATGTTACTTGTGCTGGATGGGGAGGCTGTTTCTGTTTCTGATAGGTTAACCAAGCACTGGATGAGGAAAAACTCCCTTCTTCATTCAGCTGAGGTGCGTTGGACCAAAATTTGTGTGCGCTTATTAACACTTTGTACAGCGTATTAATAGTTCCCCAGAAAATGCTTTAAAGTAATTGTTTATCTTGTTTGAAGGCAAATGTCTTTATATTCTATAGGGATGGCAACAGATTCGTAATCCTGTTTGTTTCACTCTAATAACTGTCCCATTGAAGAAGGCTTTGGGTGGTAGGAACAGAGTTTGAGGAAAGCCTGAAAAGCCTGCGCAGGAATCAGACTTTATAAAAGGGTCAAGAATTAATAGCAGTGGGCACCTGCCAACGTTTTGTGCAGTTTGGGCTTTTGTGTTTTCATTGTCAGTTTGTGCTTCTAGTTTGATTATGAGCTAGCAGCTTATGTGGTGCTGCTTGACTGGTCAAGAGCTGTTGCTGATGGCTACAAAGGAGTGTTTCCTTTTTCTTCATCTGCTTTCCTTGACTTTGATCTACACGCAGTCTTTTGCTGGCTTAGGAGCTCAGGAGCACATCCCCTCTCAAGGAATTTGAGGCATCTGATACCTTCTCATATTGAACACAAGGTTGTGCTGAAATGAATGGATTTCATCAGGGAGTGATATTTTTACAGCAAGCCTCAGCAAAATCAATAGGTCGTTGTGTTGAATCCTTCTTATTGGAGTAATTCAAGGCACAAAATCTTTTCTCCCCATTTTGGTTCTACAAAGTATATTAAAACTGGATTTGATCCTTTCTTAGAGTTGTAAATACTTATGAGAATTTTAATTTATTTTAAATATTTTACATTTAATAATAATTGGTGGTAATATAATAATTTAGCATTGTGTCATACAAGAGAGCATGGTGCTTTCGCTTGACTCCACACCATTAGGGTCTTCAATCTGATTCCTGTGGGCAGATGATGAAATCAAGGAGACTATGTTTGGGCATACGGCGGACCGCCCATGCAATTTGAATAACAAGACCAATTCTGAGCTGAAGAGAGGTTTCACTGTGGTGAGGTAACCGGCCTCATCCCTAGACAATAATTATCTTCATCTTTGTGCATGGAAACCCCATGGTTAGTGGGACGAGAATAATGCTTATTTAATTTTACAGTTCAATTGAAGTTATAGGTAGTTACCTTGTAGACAGTTGATCTGACTGACCCTTGGTGATTGACAAGTCACCTCATCACAACAGCAGCCATGTAGAGGGTGACTGTTTGTGCTCATCTCTGTCTCCCTCTACTGCTTTGCCGGGCACAGTAAAGATACGGCATTAGGAGCAAGATTGAGGCAAGGAGCTAGCGTGTTTTCATTGTATCCTAGGTGCATGTAAAAACACAATCTTGCTCATTGCATTAGAGTTCTGGTGTTTTCTTTATCCTTTTTGTCTTGTAAATGGGAATAAATCATTTTAATGTTATTACTTCCCCTTATAATGAAGACTGAAAACAGCTTTGTTACATAATGGGAAATGTAATGGCTGTTCAGACACTGTAAATTACAGCCTAAAGAAAGTAATGAATTATGCATGCACAAATAACTGCATCAATAAAAGGATTTTCTTCAGTTTCTTTCTGAGTGTTTTGAACACCTGCCCATTTATATCCTCTCCCCCACCCCCTCCCCCCTCCATTTCTGGTTAAGATCAGCAATTAAAGTAACTTAAAGTTGGAAGAGATGCTTTTAACATATAGACGTTAATTGTATTATTCTGAGTTCAGACCCTGTCCCCAGTTGCTCTTCTCCTTGGGGTTCTAGTTTAATTAGCAGTCCCTTAGAATATTACTGTGTTCCTTCTTGCAAAATAGTAGTAGTCTATATAGCCTTCTGCATGACATCAGGAATATTTCAGCTATGCACAATGTGTGCCTAAAATCCAAGTTTAAGGACCTCTTTCCTGCAATTTAAAATTGCTTGCTTGACTGAGAGAGCCACAGTTCCAATCTGCCCAGAACAATGGCAGCTGGCAAAGGCTTCCACTGTTTAAAAAAAGCAAATAAGCTGTACTTACAATTTCATGACTGTTTTTAAAATTAAAATTGCAGTACACACACACACTGCGTGGGAAGGGCTGTGTTGTCTTGGATTCTGTGGGGCTTTGCTAAATAGTAACCTTAATTTCTATTGATGGTCATCCCATTTGTCAGGTTTACTGAGCAATGAAAGAAGTAATATAATTAACTTCTAAGAAGTTCCTTTATTTTAGCAGATACAAAAACCACTATTAATTGGAAGAGGGGCAGAAAACCCCCCGTTGTACACCATAGCTGTATGGATCGCCTAGTGATCTTAAGCATCTGGTTTAAAACAGTTAGACTCCTTGGAACACAGGTTCAGAGCCTTGTAGGACTAACTTGGCCCTTCATCCTTCAGAGGCAGATAAACTGAGTTTACTATGTGTGGGTCTTTTGGTTGAAACTTTAATAAACAAGGCCCTGATTCTGAAAATGTTTGTGCACATTTTTAACTTTATACATGGGTCATTCTGTAAGCCAGTGGGTTCACTTGTGTACATAAAGTTAAGAATATTCTTGTGTTTTCAGGATTGATGGCCCCTGCACCGATGGCTGATATTTTTTTTCCCCTTCACCCCACTGCTGTGCAGTATGTTACGCACTGGTGGGATTTTACCCATTGCTGTGTCCCATTTTACCCATTTACTCATTGCTGTAGATAGTTTGTGAAATGCTGAGCCTACAGGATGTGAGGTAAGGCCCCCCCTCCCAAATGTCACTTTGTTCAAAATGTCAAACTATATCTATCTGTCTCTTTCAATAACAAGTTCTTAAGCTGAAAATGTATCTCCTTACAAATATTCTGAAGAAACTTCACAACTGGTTGCTCAAGATATGATCTTTTTCAAAGTAGGAGGATAGAATTACAGTGACTGCCATTAAAAAGTCAATTTCAACTACTATTATATACTGTTCCTAGAATCAGGGCTTTTCTACGGAGGGCAAAAATATTTTGGGTGATTGTGGCTGCCCTTATTGCACAAACTATATACAATAAATTACACCACTGTTAGAAAGAGATCAGTACAGTTGTTCCTAATGCACAGAATGACTGCAGCTGGCGGCTTGCATCTAGGCTTAGCCACTGTCCGGGAGGGAAGTGACAGGGTGGTGGAGTGACTTACCCTAGGTCACATTGCAGTTCAGTGGCAGAGCTGGGAAACCTTGGCCTCCTCACTATCAGTTGAGTGCCCCAATCCTGGACCACTCTGCAGAAGATCTGTTTGGTATGAGCTCTGATTCCAAAACTTGGGTGTTCCTCCACCTTTTGCAAACGATCATTGATGAACTGAGGGAGCTTGTCTGGGCCCCAGTAACACGTGCTCTGAATTGGAAATGTAATGGACCTTGTTATCCTTGCTAAAAAGTGTGTGTGTTGGTGCAGTGTTTGGGGAGGAACTACAAGTAGTTGAGAGGTGCTTTCTGTCCATACCTTGGATGCCTTTAATTAGATTTCTAGCTCATCATAAGAGGATCATCATTAATGAGGTTTAGTGTTTCCCACTAAATGTAACCCAGTTCTATCATAACTACTTTGGTAAAATACCTAAATGAAAGCAACGTTGCTGACTTACAATTCCTGTCATCGTTTTACTGCTCACCAAACAAATATTATGCTATGGTCTCCTCATTGCTGAGTGGTGATTAATGCTGCTTAATTTTGGTATGGCCAGAAAAACACTCTTTGAAAAATGCAAATATCCTACCGCTAATGCATGTGTGAGGTTAAAAAGATTGATCATCACCCAGATGTTAATCCTGGCTCAACAGCACTGAATATTAAATACTTTTTTTTTTTTAATTTTGAAATGTTCTTCTCTGTTCAGGGGCTACGATGACCCTGTTGAGACAGAGATGGTTGACGAGAGGATCCCTTACCTTCACGGTGGCTACGCAGCACCATTAGCACAGCCTGAGAGGGGGAGCATGGCTAGCATCGAACGCCTGGGCAAGCGCTCCCCCTCCATTGACAGCATCCGCAAAGACCCCAGGTGGCGGGACCCTGACCTCCCTGAAGTGATTGCCATGCTCAGTCACCCCATCGATCCAGTCAAGTCCAACGCGGCAGCATACTTGCAGCACCTGTGCTATGAGAACGACAAAATAAAAAAGGATGTGAGGCATCTAAAAGGGATTCCCATCTTGGTGGGGCTGCTAGATCACCCAAAGCCAGAGGTCCATCGCAAAGCTTGTGGGGCTCTCAGAAACATCTCTTATGGGAAGGATAACGAGAACAAGGTGGCTATAAAGAACTGCGATGGGATCCCGGCATTGATCAGGTTATTGCGGAAGACAAATGACATGGAAGTCAGAGAGCTCATTACAGGTCAGTGTCTGTATTTTTTCAGGGGAAGGCTTTATTGGTTTTGGGAACAAGAATTTTTGAAGGTGGCAAGATTGTCTAAGAGTTATGAACCACTGGCTGCAGTCATTTGTCTCAGGGCATGTCTGTATGCTGAGTTAGCGTGAGGCATGTGGGGGTGTAAATCTACAACACTGCAGGAGGTCTGTGTGGACCCTGCTGCTGTGCACTAAAAGTTCAAAGTACGCTCGGGAGCTCTACACCATAGAAGTCTAGCTTTGTGGGTGCCTTGGGCTCTCATACCTTCCAGGATGTTACAGTGAATACAAGCCCTAAGAGGGCTACATATATGTAACAGATCAAGTTAGTTCACTCCAGCAAGCCTAGCTGGATTGAGAGCAACAACACTCGAGTTACACAGAGTGATTGGATTAGCAGCACAGAGTGAATTGCATCCCCGCTACATTACTAGTTACGGCATCAAGAGCCCTACGAGCACCACATAACTCAAATTCGAGATTTGTGCGTGTAGCTGGGAGTTGGGTTATGGGCAAAACTCGAGTTGCTTGCTGTGAAGACATGTGTTATGTCCTTAAGCGCCTGATGTTATGAGACCCACTGGATGCTGCCGCATTAAGTGCGTCACAGTGTAGCTGCATGCACCTATCTATTCAGGGGAAAAACCAAGGTGCTGTGCAATGTGTGGTGAGGTTGTGTGGCTAATGCTATAAAGGCTAGAAAATTTTCAGATTGACAGGCACAGGGGCTGCTGCTGAGACAGTTTTGGGAGAGGGAATGTTCATTATAATTTCAGGAAAGGAGGCACTGCCGTTTTTTTAAAAAAACTGCCGGTATATACTTAGCAGTGATTTTTTTTTTCCAATTATTTGTGGCTCCATTATTCAACCAGCTTTTGTCTGAACTTAGCCTTGGACATACTCCAAAATGAGTAGTGAATTACATGCCAGGTTTCAAAGTTCAGCCATTGAGTTACATATGTGGAGGGGGGTGAGAAAGCATGTCAACAACTCTTCACATTGTGGAGACTTATTCTTCTTCAGCCTCCCATAATTCGAAAGCAGGAACATAGATTTTCCCCCCTTTGAAGAGTCAGGGGTGGGGGAGGAGGAGGAATGACAGTTAGATGGAGACCAGATGGAGGATTTTACTCCAAAAATAGAGTTTTTCAGAAAGCACTAAGCATGTGAAAATAGGCCTGTATGATTGAAATGTTTAGCTACCTCATCTGTATTGGGATCTGCCAAGCAAATTCAATCATAAAATGTGGCATAATACATTTGAGGTAAACATTATAATGCTATAATCACTGCAGGACTTGTGGCAACTCTCCAGGCTTTTACCAGACATCATCCTTTGAGATGGATATTGGTACTGAGATGCTTGTCCTTCCTCAAGCATTTTTATTTATTCAGCAAACTGGGCCTAACCAGGCAATCCACAAACTAACTTCCCTCCTTCCAGTCCTTCTCCATAGAGCTAGGAAAGAGGAGCCTTTTGCTAAAGTATTTGATTCAGCAGGATGGCTGACTTTGTATTTTGTCCTTTTAAAAAAAAATTGGATAAATAAAATGCATTTCTCTGCAGTTCTGGTTTGTTCAAAACTCATTTCCAGAGCTCTGCCAAGGAACACATTTATTTTGTCAGATTCAAAAAAGAAAAAGCTAGTCTATAATTTACTCTGGAGGAACATCATTATAATGTTAAGTGGTAATCAGTCATCTCAGAGATGGCAAAAACAAACTGGAGTTTGCCCCCTTTCCCTCTGAATGGTGTTTGCTTTGAATCCCGACTGATGAATTAATTTCACAGTGTAAGTATGTGCCATTTGATCCTACCTCAGAAGTAAAATTAGTAATTTTGTTCTGCGTCCTTATGTAGGTATAGTTCCTACTTGCTATTTTAAGCTGTTTTTTCTCTACTGAGAAACCCTAGGAATGTTTAAAAGTATTAACCTAAACAGATGTCCAGCAACAGATGATGATTCTTTAATCTCCATCTATGCAGGATGAATTTAATTCTACTCTTAAAGCAATAGCGTCAGAACTGGGTGTTAAACATTCTAGCAGTAATGCCGAAGGGAACAGAGTTTCAACAACAATTGTGTGGGCTGAGGCTGGTGGAATCACAGCTGATATTCAGACTCAGCTGAGACTGAACTGCCCATCAAAAAAAGGTTTCAGAGTGGCAGCCGTGTTAGTCTGTATGCGAAAAAAGAAAAGGAGGACGTGTAGCACCTTAGAGACTAACAAATTTATTTGAGCATAAGCTTTCGTGAGCTACAGCTCACTTAGAATCATAGAATATCAGGGTTGGAAGGGACCTCAGGAGGTCATCTAGTCCAACCCCCTGCTCAAAGCAGGGCCAATCCCCAATTTGTGCCCCGATCCCTAAATGGCCCCCTCAAGGATTGAACTCACAACCCTGGGTTTAGCAGGCCAATGCTCAAACCACTGAGCTATCCCTTCCCGCACCACTGAGATGAAGTGAGCTGTAGCTCACAAAAGCTTATGCTCAAATAAATTTGTTAGTCTCTAAGGTGCCACAAGTCCTCCATCAAAAAAAGAATTCCGAAGGACAAGACCAGGGAGAAATAAGATTCAAGTCTTTAAAACAATACAAGAGGAGCATTCAGCCAATGCTACTGCAAAAGGACTGCATGCTCTGCAGTGTTACGTGCACTGGTTACAGTTCTGGAGCTCTCATCATGATGATGATAAGTTGACTTTGTATCAGGATTACTTCCCACTGCAGTCGATCAGAGTATGCGTTTGCCATGAATGCATTTTATTCTGTCTGGAATTAAACCTTTGAGAACTTTTGCCACCATACAGAAGTTTGTTCAGATTCAGATGGAGGTAAAGAATAATAAATTTAATTGCTTCTTTTAAAAGGCTGCAACTTCAGACCAGTTGTTACACGTTATCTACACTAATTGTGATAGTGATTGCTATTCAGATCTGAATTGTGGCCAGCCATTAATTGACTATTCTAGGTGTGGTTGCATTATAAAATAGGGCTGAGATTTCCAAAGGGTCTAAGTGAGTTATGCCCCCAAATCCCATTGCAATTTGGGCACTGGACTCCCTTAAGCTCCTCTAAAACAAAAACCCGGCCTAGATATATACATCAATATATATCCTAGGATACTAACTCTGAAAGGACACAGGTTAAACAATCACTGGATGCATCTACACGGCAAAAAAATAAAAATAAATAAACCAACCTGCCGTGGTGAGTCTCATTGCTCAGGTCAACTGAGTTGGGCTTGTGTTGTGGGGTTAAAAATAGCAGTGTAGCTGTTCAGATTCAGGCTGAAGCCTGTGCTCTGAAACTTGGCAAGTGGGGAGGGTCTGAGAGCCCAGGCTTCAGCCTGAATCCGAACATCTACACGGCTATTTTTAGCCCCGCAGCGCGAGCTCCACGGGCCCAAGTCAGTTGACCCTGGTAGTGAGACTCACTGCTGGAGCGAGAGGAGGTTGCTGGGTAGACATACTCATCGTATCACTCAGCAGTCTACAGTCAGGTTTCAGTATTCTGATATCACATGACTGCTAGACTAGGTAAGTCTGTGTAGCTTTTCCCATCTCGTGGTATCACCTGCCTCGGAACTGAAAGCCTGTTGTTGCTTGACATCATAGCTCTTTTACTAGAAGTTCTGTGTATAGCCTAGAATGGCATTCGAGCATGATGGCCCTCAGTGCACGCCAGGCATGTTAGGCATTTAAAAATACCTACCAATCCCCAAAGATATAGTCATGCTGTATCCTCTAGTTCTCTTTTTTAAAAAAAATCTAGGGTTGCACAAACAACCTGCACTTATTGTACTGCAGAAATCTCAGTTTATTAAGGCTTTCACAGCTACACTATGACTTGAGCTGCAATCAGAAATGCTACTCTGTGGAGCTCCTCCTTGAATCAGTCCGCAGTTATCCTCTTGGGACTGTGCAAAACTACCCATTCAATGGATCATTTTCTGACTTCAGAAATGAGAGCTGAGCTGATAAAGAAAGAAATCTGTTCTGACTGGGAAAGCTGCAAAGGTTTTTATCTTGAATGATAAGGTTTGGTGTGGAACAAATGTTCCCATCAGATATGCAAGACAGAAATTCTATTATACTCTTTTGACAAGCAATCAGAAGTTAGTAGCTTTAATGAATTTTTCATTCTTTGTGTGCTCATTGAAATGTAATTTTGTTGTTTAATGACACTGCATGATATTTTAAGTGGTGCAGAACATTATTCTTCTGACACTCTGTATTGGCAAATTGGGTTTAATTGAAAAATGATTGACCTTAAATGTTCTAAGGAGAAAATCTTTTGATCTAATAATGTTCTATGTAGAAAGTTGCTGTTTGATGCAGCCAATCAGAATCCATTTCTTGTGGGCATTAATTAATGTATGTTAGAAGCCTAGCAGCTAACCAGAATTCATTTCAGCGGGCACTAACTCCTCTTGTAAGTCCACTACTATGAGCAGCATATTTTCTAATTACAGGTGAATTTACTCCTTTTTTCTGTTGGGAAACCTGTCAAAAGAATATATATTTCATGATGCACTCTGTAACCCAGTAATTTATCTTCAGGACCTGTGCTTGGCCTCTTTCAGCTTGGGATGCCCAACTCCCATCACCAGAGCTCAATTTTATTTTATTTTTTAAAAGACTGCATATATAATAGAATACATGTCAGACAGATGACTACAAGATCAACTAACATCAAGAGCACCCAGCGAATATATGCAATTTATTTTAGATGATAAATGATTCAGTGTGCTGCATAGATGAAAGAGTAAACAGGTTCTTGGTTTTTTTTAATTTAATAGTAACACTGGATTCTGCAACTAAGCAAAGTAAGAAAGAAGATTCTGTTTGGATTTCAAAAGATGTTAGCATGTCTGTGTTTGACACACTTTCTTTAAACCTGCCCATCATAGACAGCTACTGGAAGGTGGGGCCCACAGCATTTGGAACTGTGGGCTTAAATTGTTTTTATATGCTGTGAAG